TTTTTATATTGCCTAAAACATCCAAAGTAGTTTGACCAATAATATGCAGGTATTGTATATAATCGACCAATCGTGGTGCGTGAGAAGGTGAGATCTACAGAGAACGATCAAAGCGATGCAAATACGCGCACGTGTTTGTTTGTTCATTTGACTTGAAGCGTCGCTGCGCACCGATCATTGAATGACACCAAAGTACCGCAAGAGCGATTCGAAAACATAAGGAGCCGTCTGCTCTGCTCTCTATAGCTCTCGTGAATGTCATACAACAATCGATCTGCACAGTGCAAACAGCCAAAACTTGGATATTTTAGGCAATATAGAAATCCTGGCAAGGATGCGTCCCATAAAAATGGCCCGTATGGTCGCCCTAGTGTGAGGCTATCTCCACATTGCTAATTGTAACTGTGTAGGAGAGACACTTCATTAGAATTTGTGTATGACTGCCACTTTGTAGGTGTTTTCCATGCTGCATGCAAGTATTTGGTCACTTCTGGCAACAAACGGTCACATTCAGCAATATCACCTTGTACATCTTCAAATATACAGAAAGGTTTGAACTGGGAAAACACTGGTGGATAGTATCATGTGGTCAGTTTCAGCAGATTATTCAAATAACCAATTCATTCGATTAAGGGTTCTCCCTTGTGTCAGTTTCAAAATCTAGCAAATTTTGCAAATTGTCAATTATTTTTAATTGAAATTAATTAAGTTGAACATGTTGTCATCTAGTGCTGGGCGGTATACCGGTTCATACCGAATACCGGTGTTTATTTTTGTTATGATATAAATTTTTTAAATTCATCTTTAATTCACCCTCATCTTGTTATAAACCTGTACAATTTACTTTCTTCTGTGGAACATAAAAGAAGATATTTTGAGAAACGCTTCAGTGTTTTTTGTCCATACAATTGAAGTCAATGATGCCAATAGTGTTTGGTTACCAACATTCTTTTGTGTTACGCAGAAGAAAATAAGTCATACAGGTTTGGAATAATATGAAGATGAGTAAACGGTAACAGAATTTTCATTTTGGGGTGAACTATCCCTTTAAAGCTAAATGTAAAATCTGCAAATTAATCATTTTTTACTGCAAAAAATGTACTGTACATAATACTCAATTCAAAAAATAAAAAAGAATTGAAAACAGAAAATTTTACAAAATGTGACAGATTTTAAAAATTACAAGGGAGAACCCTTCTGTTAACCAGTGAAGATGATTGTTCAGTTAATCTGCTGAAAATGACCAACTATTGGTGAATCAATCAGCCTGGCTGATATATTGACTATAACTAGTCCAGTTAATGGTGCTATACATTAAAGCTTTTTGTTATACATGTGTTTTAAACTGCTTATGGTATTTTCCCAAAGAATCTGGTCAGCATATGTGCCTGTGTTACATAACACAAGTATGCTGGCTTATATTTAATTGACAATAAATAGACAGACAGATAAACCTGTTCTTTAATGGGGTCATATGATGCGATTTCAATTTTTCCTTTCTCTTTGGAGTGTTACAAGCTCTTGGTGCATAAAGAAGATCTGTAAAGTTGCAAAGACTAAAGTCTCAAATCCAAAGAGATCCAGAAGTCATAAAAAGGGTAAAGGTTATCTATACAAGGCCTAAACTTTGTCTTAATTTTATTTACGTTTCAGTTCAATAAGACTTCATACAAACAATTTTCCGGCAAACCACCATGATGAGTGTTAGAGAAAACATAAATATTGGTGTTTAACACAGAGCAGGTTTTAACTCAAGCTATCAAGCTCAACAGGGCTTTCCAGACGAATTGCATTATATCAGTGTACAAACCAAACACTTTGGCTGTGTTTAACCACCAAAAATGTCCCTTTACACCATAATGGAAGAGAAATGACCCCTCAGATGAAGGGTGGATGGGAGACTCCAGCACTTTAGAGATTCAGATGGGCTTGTTAAAGAAAAGTGAATGCATCTGTTGGGTCTTAAAAAGCAACTCTATTGTCTGTCTCCTAAATCCATGCGATTCTTTCAGTATAATAAAACACGTGGGAGGTTTTAGGAACTAACTAGCAAGGTTTGTTCCGTAACCAGCACTCAACTTACTTGAATGGAGTCATTTGCCATTGTTGTATCTGGATTGTCGTTTGTGTCAGGACACCCAAATTGTCGTTCCCCCTCTTCCTAGATTCTCAGAAATCGACGACAAAGAGATCCTATTCTTCTGTCGGCTCTCAATGCAACAGTTTAAGATCCAGCAGCGCTTGAACAGCTTATCAAAACTCTGTGCATGTAATAAATGCTGTTGCATCACTGTCAGACCAGATGCAGGTTGTCATCTGGACATAACCTAAGCTATTATACGCTTTCCTTCAATTCAAAATAAAACCACTGCATGTAAAACATGATATAAAAGAATTAGCAATATAAACGACAACGTTCATTCAAACTATAATCTGGCATATCGACAGCTCGCAGGAAAGTCGCGTGTATTTTTCCATGATCGCGTCCTGGAATAGTTCTTCTGCTGGAGCTCGATACAGCTGCATACATGTAACGTACCGCACTAGGCAGGGTAACTGGTCAAAAGAGTTCAGCTTTTCTTCTCAATTCATCACCCAAAAACACGAACGCCTATATTTAACTGCTTTCTCATCATCAACCGAGGCCCGAGGAGTTCACATTCACAGCCGGTGAATAATACAACAATCCGCTCCTCTGTAAAAGATACTGTCGCCGCTCGCCTCTGTGTGACTCCGCCAGTGATGATTGCTCGCGCGGGAGGGTCGGTCACTATCCCCGGGCGCGAGCGTTGTGGACGCAGCCAGTATGCCGGTTGCGCGCTCCTGCGGGTCACGTGACCTCGCATTGTATCCACAAGCAAATTAATTTGGTTTCATCACTGTCTCGTGGCAGACATCATTTCAAACTGTTGATTCGCACTGCAAAATATATGCGGTTAACAAATTTGTGTTTTTAAAATAAAACGTGTTACCTTAAGTATTTAAAAGTATTTAAATTCAGCTAATATCAAATTTACTAAAAACTAAGACTTATATTTTAAACATCTTAAATGTGATACTTACTACTTTCATTGTGTGCGACCGTCTTTATTTTCTCTTAAAGACCCCATTAAATCAAACTGAAATCTACAAGGCTTTCCACTTACTACTTGTCTTTTTGTTCCCAAATGTTCAAGTGGACGTGAAGACCGCAAGTGTGTGTGTGTATACTTTTGATTACACGATATGGAACACTCTTATAATGTTGCAAGATTACAATCAGAGCTTTATGTCGTAAATCCTACACATAATTATCTGTGCACCAATAAAATAATTGAAACTTTACGTTTTACTACCAAATTATATGTAATATTTAATTAATTTAGCTTAAACTGGAAAATTTTCTTCAAAATCTCTGGACCTTCCAGTGAAAATGTTTTACTTCTCTCTGGTGACATGTGCAGGACTTCTGCCGTTACTATGGCAACGAACTCCGCTAAAAGCCAAGCCTCTTAACATGGTAGGCTACCTAAAACCCAGGATTGGTGCAAACTAAACTGAAATTTACCTGGCTAGCCAGCTAATCCGGCTTCATGATATAGGCCCCAGGCCTTAGAGTAGTGCAAAATTTGACAAAGTTGTTGAGATTTTTAAAACGTATGTGAATTAATTATTTAAACAATTTAAAAAATATTCATATTTTCATATTATTAATAACACGGTTAAACTACTAAAATCTTGAGAGGGCTGCAACAATACTACCGCGCAAGATTTTAGTTTTTGCACACAAATTACTTTTTTTTCTGCGATACTGCGTCACGTAGCGGAACAACTAAAATAAACCATGTTTTCAAACAACCTTTGCAAACGCCCCTTTCGCGTGTCACGCCTCCCCCACCTCAAACATCACAAACACAGCTCTTACGGGTCTATAAAATGAAGGGATGTCTCAACTGGTAAAAGTAGGATAATTTTAATATAAGGTCCAACATATCAGGAATGCTTTTAACTTGAAGTTTAGCTTACCTGCTGAGAAGAAACTTTGAAACCCAAACATTCCACCAAACCCCTCGATCTTGTAAAATCACTGCTAATGTCTACACTTGTTTTACCCCGTTGTCTGTCTCTTGTGTATTCTGGCAAGTCAGAAGTTTGGCTTGCACTTCTAAATGGAATCAGAATTTCTTTTTCCACTGAACACCATAGATATGTATATATCTATGCTGATCACTCTCTGGCTCAGCCTGCGACAGTAGCCACGCCCCAAACGCTCGCTACTGGCTCAGCAGAGGTATGCAAATATATGAGTTGACAGGCAGGTAGGACATCCTATCATTGCATTCGGACCTCATGAAATGATTGGACGAACATTTTATGGTCCTGAGCCTTCCACAGAAGATTGATAATGAATAATAATATTTATTTATATATTTTTTATATACTGTATATATTTAGGCGGTGAAGAGACTTTCAGTATAACAAAAACTTTACATACCCTACCTTTAATAGATAAGTAAAACTCTTAGGCCTACCTGTTCTCGTGGTCCCAGCAGGATCAGAATAGGAAATACAAATATGGTAATAATGAGTGGACTTCCAATGGTTGAGGAAACCCAAATATGGTCATGGCGGGTCACTACAACTGATGAGGAAATACAAATATGGTTATACTAACTCAAGTCTACTTAACCCAGACAGTTTGCCACAGTTAACCCTGTTTTTATTTATTAGGTTAGTCACTGGTGAAATACAGTGCACAGACTTACATTAATGGACAAAGTCAGCAATTAGCCGTCAAAGTTTATGAAATTGCAGGTATGACATATTTTAAAAAAGCATAATAAGGTTAATCTTGCATGTCTCTTTAGTGCTGCTGTCACGTGTACTAGGATAATGGACGTGTTTACAGGCGATTATCGATTGTGTTGCAGCGATACAGTCGTCAATTACTTTAAAATGTATTTTTACAAACTTTTTCTCTCAGCTTTTTTATGGTTTCATGCTGGATTGATTAAGTCATGATGGCTAGCACAGAGCATGGGGAGTTAAAGTCTTCACTATGCGAAGAAAATGAAGCAGCCCAGTCTCTGACAGAAGTAGGTACAGAGAGTACACAGACTTTTGAAGGTAAGGATGGGGGGGAAAGTAATTATTCCCCGAACCCAGCACCCTGATGCACATAATATTGCTCTTGTTCATAGAAGTCAATGCAATGGCGCCCTCGTTCGGTGATGAGAGGTGTTTCTCAGTTGAAGGTGCAGGAAATTCTTCATCCTGTCAAGATAAGAGAATGATGGATGAAAAAATCTCTCCCAGTGAAAGGCAACTTAAGTACTTGCTGAACAAGGCAGATGAGTTTCAAACACAGCTTTTATGGAGGTGCAATTAGATCTAGAAAAAGAACATTTAGATATTTTTGTCAAATGTTTTTGGATGTTACCCATCTGACAAAAAAATCTGCTCTTGTATATATGGTTGTTTTAGTCGAGACTGCCTCCAGAATTATGGGTTTGCAGATTTATTCTGCACATCTTACACCGCACTGTAGGTGAACACGAACTGCAGGAATGTATCCCATTTGTATCCCATCACAGCTTTTGCAGTTTTCTCAGCAACTGTGTTCTCGTCTGGAACAGCTGGTGTTGCTGTACGCCTCCTTCAGTTTCTTCTCACTGAAGGAATCTGATCCACTGAGGTACAAACCAATTGTAAATCATAGAGGCAGATTTATAAATGAATGTGAGGATTCAGTCAGAAGATACTGAATCTTTTTTTTAGCACAAAAGGAAGGTTCTCAAAGGCCTGAATTTAGTATAAATGTAGTCATAAAATACCCCGGGAATCCACATTGGGTTATTTCTATTATTATTGTTTTCTTTATTGCAGTTTTTTTTACTATATATATTTTTTTACAGTATCTCACACTTCTATATTGGCCAGTGTCAAATAGACAACATGAAGCTATCAATCTTCCGGTACTGTTGCCCCACCCCCTTTCTTGCCTCAGCCAGTACTGGCCTATACAAACCTATGCGCTGGAATGTGGAGCAAGAGATAGAGGGAGAAGTAGAAGGACAGACATATGACAGTGCAGAGTTGTAAGTGAGGTTTAGTCAGAGAGAATTATAAAGGGATTTTCCCATTTCTTTGTAAAAAGGAAAAAAGGAGAGTGCCTATTTTATTTATTATTCATAATAATAATAATTTTTATTATTAGTTAATAACACAGCCCTACAAAAAGGCCTAATATTACCTAATTTTGGTTCTGCTGAGTTCAAAGATATCAATAAAACTTGTATCACATACAGATTTTTCTCTTTTTTTAGATTATATATCAGCTATCAGCTTAAATGTACTTAACAAAAAATAAACAAATAAATAAAATCAGTCAAAAGTTTTAATGACAAAAATACGTATTCAAAATGTGTAATGTAACTTACAATCTGCAAAGTAGTAGAAAAATTGGAAATCGGGATTAGGCATAAAATAATGTCTTCTGAATGATTCAAATATGTGCAAATTGGCTGAGAATTGAACAAATAGTTGTGACCTGGCTTAGAGGAAGTTAGGAATCATGTCATTGAAAGCAAAAATGCTATGAAATGAAAAAGTAGTGAAAAAGTTTGATGTGCTAGAGCAAAAATTTATTTTTATTACCAGCTCCCCAAAATGAGTAAGAAACCAGTATTGGATTTTGTTCAGCAAATAGGATGCAGGGCGGTGTAATAATTTTTCGACCAAACAACATTTAGCACATGATAGATGCAGAGGGAAACAATTATGACAGTGTAAGAATAAGAACAGCCCTAATTGATGGGATAATGACATATCATCGTCTTTACAACATCCATTACCTACCTTCCCAGTTACTTCCTGTGCTGTGAGGATGTCATTGAGGCAGCAGATGATAAGGATGGAGAAGGAAGGTGCGAGGGAGAAAATACAGAAACTGAGAGAGAGACTGTAGAGAGGATTTGGTCGATTGTCCGGTGGGTCCAGACGCACCCTGATCCAGAGACAGAGGACATCACTGATTGGTAATGTACTTTTAACTACTTTCGGTTTCATAGGAAAAGATGGAGCTACAGTTTCTGCTTTCCACAAAAAGCTACCATAAGTCAAACAAAAACTGAAGCTAATCCTAGATAAGCACTCGTCTGATTAGAGATTTTGAGAATAACTATTAAGAAATGTGTAAATATGTAATTTAGGAATAACAGTTAAACCTAGATTTAAAAAAATTAATTGTGTGTATATGTTTTGTATCGTGCTGTGTTCAGCTCCTTGTGGTCAGTACAAGCAGCTGTTGTGTCTGGGAAGTGAGGAGCCTTCATCCTGCACTTCCACAGACTGCCTGTTGGGGGTGCTGCTGTCTCAGGAAACAGATGGTACATTTGGCATGAAAACATGAGGTGGTGCTCGCTTAGGGCCTCACCCATTCTTGATTCTTCATTCAGTTTGTTTGTTGAAATCAGATGCGATTACAGATAGAAGTTAAAAATCTAACGCCTGTAAATTTGTACAATTTTTCAAACATTGTTTTTATAGTTATTGTTGGTGTTGTTCAGTCATGTTGGTTTGGTATGTAGCAAATAATTTACACCAGTGATGGAAAACTCATTAAATGGAGTAAAAGTTCAAGATTAAATGTCAAACCAACTTTATTTTCATGAAAACATTAAAATACAGTGGCCGTCCAAGTAGTCTGTTACAAAGTCCAGAAATAAAACCTGCTGGCAGCCAAGGCCCACTGCCTACTTTTCTCTATAAAACAAAGAAATAAAACAATCCTTCCTTTCAAAATAATAAATTACAAAAATATACACAATAAAAGCTGGAATATGTACCACACAGAAGCAGTTGTGTCTTTGCAAACATGGTAAAGATCAGTGGAGAGGGTAGAGCATTACTAATAATGCTGTTGTATTCCTTCATATATGTCAATCCCAGTCAAAGCTATAAAGTTATTTTCAGTGCATTTTTTACTGCTGGTTTGTGTGTCTATACCGTAGCTTTCCCTGTATGGTATTTGTAACTGTGATATGTCAAGTTATAAAACAGTAGTTAAGCCAAAATACAGTGAAAGTCAAACTCTACCTGGAATCCCTGTGTTCCCTGATTATAATGTAAAGTGGTTCCTTTGATATATTCTTTAAAAAAAGTTGAATTAAAAAAAAAATGCTCCTACCTTTACAGTGTCAAACACAGTACTATATAGTCTCTAAACTACTTCACAGCACTGGACAAATAAGTACACCACTACAGTACAAATAAAATTAAAATGGTAATCTCTCTTCATAATACAGTAAACAGACTTTATCATTGTCCCTTTAAAATAACATGTACCATCAACATATGACAAAACAGATAATAGGGGCTCCAATAATCAAATTGTGTTTTAACATTTCACTGGGCCAAGATCAATCAATTCATTCAGTCAAGATATGTGACAAACAAAACTCCTCACCAGACTCACAAACATCAATATAACATTGGCTTTATTATCATAATAAGTATAAGTTAAATTTGGATGAACATAATAGGCCTACTCATGATGTGACCCATTGAATTCCATTTTAATTTTTGTAATTCTTTGTGTTCCAATAATTTCGATTTTTTTTTTTTGGAGGAAGGGAAATAAACAGAGACAGAACAATGCACAGAACCTCAAAAAAAAAAAAAAAAATTTTAAAATTTTTTTCCATTCATACTAGACAGGACTAACCAATTTCTCTAACCAAAGTAGGGACAGTAAACATTTGGGAGATTGTGACAGTGTATGAGTGCTTATTTAGCAAAGAGTCCTTCCAGCCCAATGTGGGAGTCAATGTGGGAGTCAATCTCAGGCACAGCAAACCAGAAAACTTCATTTAAACTGCATGAGTGCAGTTATGAGAGCTGCTCCTTGATCCTCAAATAGATACTAATCATATAGTTTGGACAGGTAAGGGAGGCACAGTGTTCAGAAGGTTCACAGTAAAGAGGATCATTTGATGTAGCTGCACAGTTTTTCCTGTGTCATTAAAAATATAATTAATATAATTAAAAATCCCTGTAACACATTAATCTAAAATAGCAAAGTTTCTGGTGTCAGCTATTTTTCAAATGTTACAGCAGTGC